TCCCTGCTCATTATCCTGATTCTGCCCAGCTACGTCACTTCCTGTCTGGCCAATCAGCCAATCAGTATGGGAAACATATGCAGAAGAACATCCCCCATCAACAATGTGATTCAAATTGTACATTAAAGTTTTCAGATCTCTCAAGTAATGCCTGGTTAGACCTCTGTTTCTTACCCTGAGGATTATTAAAAAAAAAAAAAAAAAACAGAAGTACTTTGGTCCTAGTGAACCATGACTTAGGAAATTTTGGGGGTTTTTTGTTTTGTTGTTTTCTTTTTCTTTTTAATCTCTTCTTTCCCTGTAAAATTTACAATTACTTGTAAGTGATGATTAATATGCATTAAAGAAGGATTGTGCAGTAAACCTATAATGGTTAAATTCAAGATGTAGACTCTGTAAACCTATTATTGCCACCAGTCAACACCTTTTAAAAACTAGCAGTATCTGTAATGAAGCTATAAAAGTCACACCTGTAAATTAAATTGGGATGCAATTATTGGAGATTTATCAGTAACAGATGGGTGATCTTATAAACAACAGGTATTTAGTTTTGTTAATTTTGGCTTGTACTGTTGGTAAAACAGAACACTGTATTTTGAAGGCCATCAGTCTCTAATAAAAAGGAACAAAGGGTTAAAAAATGAATGGGCTTTGGGGGCCTAAGGAGAAATATTCTCTCTAAATACATGGGTGAGGGCCTAGGTCCCGCCCCAAATGATGTGACAGACTTTGATGAGCCCCCATGGGAGACCTCATCCTCCCTGGGGAGTGGATGGGGGGATGGGATGGGGGTTTGGTTGGGGAGGATGGGAGGATGGGAGGGAGAGGGAACTGGGATTGTTGTGTAAAATAAGATTGTTTTTAATGTAAATAAAAATGTATAAAAAATTAAAAAGCAAAAAAATAAATTAAAAAACCATAAGAGAAAAAAAAAAAAAACAGTATTTTTCCTCTTTCAGTGACACATACCAAGAAGTAAAAACGAAAGTGACATTTCGAACTCATAGAAGGACAGCTTTGGTGGCTGACCTTTGGAGAATGTTTCCCCTTTCTCACATAGTAAGACACATAGTCCCTAAGTGGAGAAGTGTGACAACCACTATTGGGCAAATACTTGCCATGTTAAAAAGTTATTTATATTTTACGAGTAACTGGAGGCTTCTTCCAGCAATACATATTCTTCTCAGAAACGAGGACTAGAAGTTTTGTATTGATGTCATAGGCAGTGCCCATACATGAAATGAGAGCTTCCACTAGAAAAGCCAGATCAGGCGGTGAAATTGCGAGCAATATGAGGAACCCAAATATACCAAGGGAAACAGTGCCTCTGGGTATTTTAATGATTCTTACCCACTATCCATAGCTTCTACTCGAAGAGACTTAAAGAAACAGCTCGTTAACTGGTTTCTTCACTTTAGCCCTCAGCTTGCAGCTTATTCTCAACAGGGTTGTGGTCTAGCTTGAGTTGCCATTCGTCTACGGACCTCTAGTCTCAAATGATATCTCATGCACAATCTTTGCAATGGCCCTAGGAGTGGCCAGTCGTCATCTCCCAGTGCCTCTCCTCATGTCTTCTGATCCTGTTGTCTTGGCCTTTGCTGGCCCTCAAGCTCACAATTTATATGCACTTTTAATACCTATGCCTGGGACAAACTTCCTCAGGTGGGATAAATGCTCATTCACTCAATGCTTTAGAGAATTATATAAATGTCACCTATGTACTACGGTCTTCCGAAGTCATTGTTTAAAACTATACTATGCCTCTCCTTTGTATTTTTCCTGCTTTGGTTTTCTGCAGTATACATTCAAGCCAGCATTATATTGTATATTGTATTCACTTAGTTACTTTTTTTTTTTTTGTCTTGTCTGTAGATGACAATATGTGTGACAGTAGGTAAGTTTTACAGAGTAAATAAAAGTGATTAATTTAATATGCTGCCCATGGACATGGCAGCATCTCTCCACACAGCCAAAGGACACAAGACATTGACAACATGTTTAAGGCAACAGGATTACACAGAGCCTTTCTAGATATTAGGAGTGAAGCTAAGCTGTCATTATAGAAAACCTTTTCCAAGAAATTGCTAGCATTTTCTGGATTTTGTTTGTACTGAAAGGGGGTCTTAAGAGCCATGCTGCAAAATGTGTGAGTGTTCTATCAACATCTCTGACAGAGAATAAAAGTGGACTCTAGCTCTATCCTGAAGAATGACAGACAAATGATGAAGATCAAGACACAGAATCATTCCTTTGATTTCATCTCAGAACTTGGAAAACTGTTTGTTCCTCATGAAACTTTCTCATGACTCATCTGTGTTGTATATCTGTAGGGCAGATGACCTTGGGTTTTTAATGGACAGTCATCTAAATTCAGTAATGTATTGATGAATTTATACACCATTAATCCACTCAACCATTACAATTACTAGTACAAAGCTAAGACGTTTGTTTTCATTTCTAATCCCAGAGGTCCTTCTGTCTGCCCTGTATTATCCTAGATGATGGGTTTTACATGGTACCCCAGACAAAACTGACCACTTCTGATGAGTGTCTTTATAGAGAAAGTGGCATTAAATAAGTATATAGAAAGTGGTATCTGTGGCAGGGAAGAAGAAAAAAAATGAATATCTGAAAATAAAATAAGACTCTGAGAGAAGACAGTATGATCAGGAAGAATAAGGAACATTTCCTTGAACATGACCATTAAGATTATAAAATAGGAGACATTGGAGTAGGAGGGAAGTAGGGGAAGAGATGAAGGCCCAGCAAGCAGAGAACACCTGAGGTTATCTCCTTCACCTTTCCAGGTTCTAATGGATTGATAGGTATCAATTCCTTGTGGGGCAGTCATATTCCTCCTAGATCCAGAAAATTCCAGTGAGGGTCCTAACATGAACAGGAATCTCCTGGGTAAGGACAATAGAAAAAATATGGGCATCTCTCCTACCTCGGTTTTATATTTATTTATTTATTTCTGAATGAAGATGAGACCATCTCCGTCCCTTGTAGACAGGCTAGCATACATGCTGTCAGTATTTAGGATGTCTTAATTTATCAGGGGACCCTGGACTCAGCCAAGATAACAGGTTCCCTGCTTGTGAAGACAGAAGCTCAGTCCTGTTCAGGAAAGTAGATGAACATAGTCGTCTCTATGGTATTACAGAAAACTCATTTGCATCATTAGTTTGGGGGAAGTACTTCTGAGTTCTGACCACCTCTCCTTAGAGAGTTTCCCCGGGGAATGCAGCATGGTTGTTGCTTCAGAACTTAAATAGGAAGCCATTGTTCCCATCCTTCCTTCCTCCCCTCCTCCAACAACTGAGATGCTGTTTGCAAGAGTGGAAGAGGCACTTTAGACTAGGAGATATTGCGCAACATTGGGCCTCACTTATCCTTGAGAGGGCCAGAACAGGCTTCAAACCTTTGTGAACTACAAATGCCACATGAAGCCTTGGAGCCAGTTTCTGAATGACAGATAGTAGGAATCGTGGATTCAACATCATGCAAACTAACGTATAAATACACAGAGGGTATTATATCAAGTCAAGGGCAGGACAAGGTTCAGAAATCCCTACAAAACTCTCTCCTTCATTCTCCCACACACACACCATTACAGTTATACCTTTGATATCCCACGTTACTCAAGGAAAGGAAGTAGTTGGTCAATAAGAAATGCCCGGATGGTGATTCCTTAGAAGACCTTTTGTTCTCCTCTTCTAGCTGTCTCTTTACGCGTGTTCCTTTTTCTTCTTTTCTCTTCCCCTTTCACTGTCTTGTGTCTTTCCCCTCCCCTAGCCACCCACTTCTCCCTCCTCCCCAACACCTCCTGTTGCCACATCTTGTTCATTTCCCTCAGCACTATCATAGCTTCCCTCATTCACTCTACGGTCATTAAAGATGCTGTTCTTAGGCTCAGAGGACTCCAGACAAGGAAGACACCCTCTCTGTCCCTTCATTCCAGGGAAGAGTGCCTCCTGATAATGTGGGTAAGGCCCAAACCTAGGAGTCAATAATTCCTAATATTAATATGATTTATATTGGGAACAAAAGTGACACCGAGTAAATGTGGGGTTGAGAAATCTGCAGGGTATGTAACCGACATATAATATTCTTAAGCTCCTTTTACCTCAGACCTCTTTCCAAATGTAAAAGATGTTTCTGAGAATGTACTTTAAAATATGTAAAACTAAAATACATGTCATTTAAAATAAGGAATTATATGGAACACTTCTAATAACTTATCTTCTGGGAGTCCACTGACCCGTGCTAGTTTATTGAAGGACGCTTTATACAATTTGTAGATGATTTTACGTACAATGAAGGCTAACAGATTTCTATCCTAAGAGCAACAGACAGGCATTCCTGGAGTTGTGATATTGTAACAAATTGGAAAAATCATGTCCAAAACACACTTAATATACTGCAAATACTTGACACCATGGCTTAGCAACCCAACATGCTACAGAATGTTAGCTTTTTCCCTTGAGACTGGGTGGGCAAGTAGGGGCTGTAACATCAAGGACATACTGGAAACAGCTAGGCTGGAGAAAGATCAAAACTCAGAATGTACCACTTCCTCTTGAATGTGTATCGCTGTTGTGTATCATGAAGTGAACTTTTCTAACTCAAATCATCATAAGTGAGGGGCCATCTGTCACATGATGTGTTTCTCCTCAGATTACTATTACAGCGTAGAAACAAATTCAGACTGCCAAGTGGAAGCAGGGAGCGTTGGTTGAGAGGCCAAGGAGTTGCCGACGTGATGCTAACTAACTTGAACTCAGGGAGCAATTGTGAAGACTATTCCTAAAAGAATGCCACTTTGAATCTGTCCATTAAGACACACGTGCCCCTGTCCAGGAAAGACTAGTGCCTAGACAGTAGTCTATAAACATTTCCTGAAATTCTCTAGAGGGAAGTCATCCTCAGTAATATAAGTTTGGGGTACTGAATCTGGCTTATAGTCTGTAGAATTCACAAGAGTAGTTCTTCATACTTACTTGAGCCAAATATGTTTCCAGTAAACCTTAAAAGAAGCTGTTCTCCTTCTCTTACTTGGAAATGTCTAGATGATTCTGGAAGTCCTCCAAACCCTTCCGAGCACAAGTTCTTCTGTGCCAGATTTAACTCCTTGGAAGGCACCACTAAAATAACCACTCTATGTGGATTGTCTTTCTGGTGTGACAGTACAACACAGGCCATTGTGCTGAGTGAGGCTTCTTCTAAAGACTTCACAAAAGACACCAAGTGGCTACTGTCCACTGTGGAAGACAACTGGAGCACAATAAATCTGTGCAAAAAAAGAGGCAAGACCCAGGAGGATATGAAGCATTGAAACAGACCCAAGGGAGGAACAAACTACTTTTCTTAATTTTCACTTAAAGCAAGAATTCTGACGATCTACTACCTGTATGTAGAAGGGACTTCAGTGAAATCCCTGGAAGCCACGAGATTAGTTCAGACCAACTCACTTTGTTGTTGTCTTTGTGTGCTTTGTATACATGTGGTTTGTGTGGACATATGCATCTGTACATATGGATGTGTGGGCACATGGACCGGCACTCATGTGGAGGCCAGAGATCAATGTTAGCTGTTACGTATCAATCCACCCCTTTCCATGTAGCTTGGCTTGTCCTGAACTACCAGCAATCCTTCCTTAGCCTTCCATATGATGAAATTATAAGTGGACATTACCATATTCCCCTCTAGAACATATCCTTCAAGTAATCACCCTTTCTCAGCGAACTCTAAACGTGATCTCATGTTTTAATTATAGAGTCATGTATCCTGTATCATCCCAACCAGAGACTGACTGCACATACCAAGGTGGTCCTATAAGAACATAATAGACCTAAGAAATTCTATTGCTTAGCGATGATGTAGTCTTAGCACCACAGTACAAGCATATTACCCACATGTTTATAGTGATGTTGGTATGAAAAAGCTACTGCCCTGCCAAGTGTATGAAATTGTAGCACATATAATTATGTACAGTCCATGATACTTGGTGATAACAATAAGCAACAATATGTAATATATTTTTCATTATTAGACTGGAATGTACTCTTGTCTGCATAAGGGGTCCATAAGAAGGCACTGCTATCATACGAGATGACAACTCAAGGTATATTCTTGTTGCCCCTGAAGAATTTCTAGTGGGACAAAGCAAGGAGGTAAAAGGCAGTATTTGGGTGATTCCAATGCTATTTAGACCTAGAATAATGTCCATTTTTGTCTCAGACCTTAACAACAACAACAAAATTAAATAATCCAGATGTATTGATTTACATCTATAACTCCAGCAGTAAGGAGATAGAGGCAGGAAGATTGCCATGAACTTGAGTCAGGCCTTCTCTAAATAGAAACATCCAGAGTATACACGGCTAGTTAGCAATATGCTGTCTTAAACACTATGAAGTAAATAAATGAACAAAGTTTAAAATATAAATGTGCAGAGAATAAAATGCAAAGTCATGTAGAGATTTCTCTGAGGTTAAGATCTGATTCTCTCCTAGCATAGGATTCATGTTAGGTTCCTCAGCCCCAGGGAATCTCACACTCTCTTCTGCACTTCATAGGTCCATGAACCCTTAAATAAAAGAAAAAGCATGTAGAGGAAACAGTTTTATATAGCCAAATAATATGTTTCTGTTTTAATCTAATTGGTAGTACAAATGACCCAAAATCCCAAATTTTTAAATATATGAAAAAATAAAATTAAATTAAGAAATATTGTTTATGATAGATGAAAAATATAGTAAATTTGGTCTCGCCAATGACACAGTATCTATACATCCTACTAAGATTAGAGTAACATCCTGGGTCTTTTGATTCAGTGTTCACTGTCTCACCCAGAACCCACCGAGGTTTGTGTGATTATGCCGTGTTCTTAGCATGGCAGTGCAATTGCCAAGGTTTGAAATTTTTGTTACTCCATCATTAAAAATAGTAAGGCTATAGAAAAGCATCAAAGTAATACTTCAAAATGTGGAAGTAAACTGTGTTCGAAATAATCTGTTTCTGCAGCACATGTAGGTGGGGTGTAAAGCACTAATCTCCATTTCTGTGATGTGAGGGTTTTTATGATGGATCTTGTGTTTAATTTTCTCCCACCCTACATCACATCCTCAAATGCCAATGTTCATGTATGTACATCAAAGTGAGGTCAATATGGTGGCCCTAATGCAATATTACTGGCATGCTCCAAAGGAGGAGTTCTCGACCTAAACAGAAGTACATGAGGAACACTTTGTGAGGACAGAAATGGCCATTTATAAGCCAAGGACAGGTTTTCAGAGGGTTCTTCCCTTGACGTTCTCAAAAGGAGCAAACCCTATAAAAGCTCTGATTGGATACACTGAGCCTCTAGAACTGTAAGATCATAAATAAATTTGTGACATCTTGTTACAGCACCCCCTGGGAAACTGACACAGACTTAGATCCCAGAAGGGGACATGTTAACAGTTGTTTGTTCTCTGGAGAACAGAAGCCTTCATCCAGAGCAGCTTTCTCTCACAGGCCTGCCAGGTGTAACCATCAAAGCCAAACACTGCAGTATTCTGGAGCTCCCCTGAGGCACCAAGCTGGGGAAAACCCAACCCAAACCAGCTTTCCCATCATCTTCCCTCAATTCCTCTCCTTCTTTGATTCTCTCCCAGGATCTTCCTGAGAGGCCTCTGTCAATAAGTCATTTGATCTCTCATCTCACGCTGTGTTTCTGCAGATTTTGGTCTGGGATAATCATAGATGTAAGGTTGTCATCACAAAATGAAACCTATCTTTAGACCTGCGATTGCCTTTCTTCATGAATGTCTACTCCTCGCGTACCTTAAAACTGTCTGAAACAGTCCTTTAATGGGCTGTCTAGAGAACACGTAAATGAGAAAGCTAAATGAAGGAACTGAAATAACAAATTTGGTTTATATCTACATAGTTATGAGATGAGCATAATACGAATGGTTAATTACTATCCTATGGAATTTAAGGAACGAAGGTGCTGTTTTGAAACTATTTTGGTGTTAAGAGAAACCCATAAAACAAAAACCTATGTTGCAAGTAGTTTCGAAAGCCCTACTTAAACTATCATGAGCAAAATTGCAAACAGAGGATCCGTGTCAATTGTGGTTTGCCTTTTAAGTACACTCTAAAAGAAAGATTATATCTCAGCAATAAAAATATAAACCAACGATTCCATTCCTATGCGTTAATTACAGGCTGCAGGAGAGTGTCATCACCTCTGATGGTTTTCCCTGGCCTTACCTCTCCAAGTGTTCACATAATTCGAAAGATACCAAGCCATTCTGGACAGTCCTCACCACAACATCATCAATCCCAAACCAACCACCATCTCTGCTTCTGAATCCTAGTAATTTCAAAGTTTCACAAGCGTTGTTACCAGGTTTTCTGATGGAGGCACTCTTCGTCCTATGAAATGGTAACAGAAATGGGTAAAAATTTACATAGCACACATCACATTTAAAAATAAATCTACATTTCATTATGTGACTAATCTAGTAACAATCAATTATATGTATACTACATGTCACTAGTTATTTCTGACTTCAAGAATAGGAGAATGGGGTGAATATAGTTTTTACTTCAAGAAGTATCCATATACTGTCATAGTATTATTACTTGTTTACAGCATGGGGCAATCTTGGTCATACTAAGAAGAAAATAAAGATTTAGGAGCAAATGTAACACTCAAGGATATTTTCAGAGTAAAAAGACTTATGTAAAGAATATATATGAGAAATAAAATACATTTTACCAATGGCACAAGGAGGTTTAAGGGAACATTGGAAACATGATGAAATTCAAAGACTGAAGCACAGCTCTTTAGGGCTACTCGAGAATGCTGCATATTATGTTAGGGAAGATGATAGACTCTGACACCATTTCTTCTCCTGGCTGAGTTCTATCTCTTAAACAAATGACCATGCATGCGTAAGGTGTTTTATATCTATAGATCCCAATTTTACTGGTTATCACATTAGAAATATATTACCTATATTATAGGATTATATATATATATATATATATATATATATATTAGTGTTGATATTTACAAAGCATGCATTGAACGTGTTAAGCAGTATTAATATCCCCATACCACCTCCTACAGCAGAAGATGGCCGATAGACTTTGTTAAATTCTTTTTCTGCTTGTATAACATGTCCCACCCAAAGCCTAACGGCTTTACATACCACACCATACTACTTGCCAAGTAGGGTTCATTCCATAGACCGGTTTCTAAGAGCCAGCCAATGTGGCTCCCTTTCTTTGGAATTTGGCTACGTAGGAGCTCAGAGACTGTGGCTCATCACTTCCCTTTGGTTGCAAAGTTTTTATTAAGGAAAGTAATTAATGGTGTGGATATTAAGAAGAAAATCTAGATGTTAAGGGAGAAAGAAAATGCCAATATGAAAGAGAGAATAGAGTCTTCAGAGACTAAATATGAGGTTTTTCAAAGAATTTTCTTATATTCTTTTAAGCAACTTCTTTTTTTTTTTTCAACCAAAGGTGAAAAGTCTTTGATACTGAACATCTTTGGGGAAAAATATGCTGCAGCTTGCTAGGGACAGAAACAATCTAGCTAGTTACTAAAATCAAGAATGCTCTCTTTCTCTCACTTTTTCTCTCTCCATTTGTGTGATGTGGTGTGTGTGTAGAGTTATAAAATTTACCTCAGTTTCCCAAACTGATATGTCCTATGACTCAGAAACAAAAAGTTGTTCTTACTTATTGCTATTTTTCTATTGCTATTTCAGGGACTCAGACAGAATAAAATCAAGGATTAGGGAAACTGGCTATGGGATGTTAGATTATTATCATACATGTGGTAAACTTTTAATCCTTGAAGCTAAAAGTTAATTGACCCAGGAGGATATACTGACACTGAATCAGAATCTTGGTCATTCAGAAGAAATCAGTTTCACTAAATACAGTGCTGACCCTTTCCTAAACCCACCTATGGTAGTAAGTATTCACTTTTTTCTGCCAATGCTCTGCATTTCAGTGAGACTTCAATGTGTAGTAAAACCCCATCTCCCTGACTCAGGACAGACAATAACTTGATTCAGGCAAATAGTGCATCTGGCACTCATTAGCAATGGCCACTAAAATAGTGGCCAACCCTTTGTTTTGAGGACACAATGGGTTTGCACGTCTCTGTCACTATAGTTGAGTGGTACCATGTGATTATCTCCAGTTAACTAATTGGAAATTGAAGTGAGGTTTGTCACTTTGAAGCCGTGAAGATTATTGCTCATTGGCCTACCCAAAGTTGTTCTAAAGCCATGATGGCAACCACAAAGCAAGAAACAGCCTTTCATAGCCGTGGAATGAAATATGAAGATGGTTGTTACATATGTGCAATGAGACACATGGACTGTTGAGAATTTTTTTGTCACCTCATAACATAGCCTGATCCCTACTGCATATTCCTTCTGGAACAAGTTATGAGTTTCTGACAGATTTGGGATGGGAGTTCATCTCTAGGCATCTGTGCATGTGAGGGAAATATTTCAATTTTTCCCTAAACTTGGATTTATGAAGATGTAGTGGTGTTATCTGCATGAGGTGTAAACATGTCAGAGAATAGAATCTGCTCAAGAAAGAACACAGAGACTGCTTCATTCCCAGCATGCAGAAATATAAATAAATAATAAATAAATAAATAAAGTAGCAGCACTGTTTGATTAAGGACTTTTGTTGGGTTTTCTGTGACTCAAAGTGTCCTTAATAATAAAGACTAATAGCATGCACCTGTGATCTTTGCAATGGGGGAGGCTGAGGTAGAAGCAGCATATACAATAAGCAGCCAGCTGAGCCTCACAGCAAGTACCAGAAGAAGTATATAACAAGAGTCTTACCCAAACCACAAGAATGACCACATGATATATCCTTATCTCCTAGGAATAACAGTTCTCTAATTACACTATGCTCTACTTACACAACATTAGCAAACTTAGACAAATAATGTTGCCTATTAATGACTGGTATTTGGTCAAGATAAAAAAAAATGAGAACATTTGATTTTATGACAGTTTTCCAAAATAAAACAAACCAGGACTGGAGAGATAGTTCAGCTAGTACAACATGGAGCATGGACAAAGGAACTCTGACCCCAACAACTATGTAAATATCAAATATGTGGGTATGCCTGTCCTCTTATAACCCCATTGGTCGGGAGATGGACATAAGGAATCCTTGAAGCAAACTGATGAGACACTAGTTGAGCCAGTCTGTTCCACATTCACAAAGGTACTCTGTCAGTCAGTAAAGAGTGACTGAATAACCTACCCAACATCGACCTAGGATCTCCACACACATGCCCACATGCATGTACACTCTCACACATATACATAGGTACACATATAAGAAGTTAAAATAAACAAAACATGGTGCATCTTTCTAGAAATGATTTATTTTAATATGTTCATCTTTTCCCCAAATAGAACCAGGTTCTGTGAAGATGCTGACTAAAATAAACATTCTATTAATCTGTAAGAAACCACATGCCGCAAGCAATTACATTACCAAAATTCTCATATCACATTTTAATTTCAGAACATTCCCTTCATGATATGCATAATGCATGGGCCTTGAAACGTGAATGTCATTAACAGTCCAGGATTAACTTTTCTCAGAAAACTAATTTAGCCATTAAAGTACTGATTTTTATGTAGAATTTCTTTGTTCAAAAATTTGAAACAATTCTCATTATAAATTATGCATGTTTTAATAGAGCTGTTTTAAAATAGAAGTGTTTTCTGATTTATTATTATTATTATTATTATTATTATTATTATTATTATTATTATTGTCAACTTGACACAAGCTAGTGTTAGTTACCCGGGAAGAGAAACCTCAATTGCCAAAATGCTTCCATATGATTGTCTGTAGGCAAGTCTGTAGAACATTTTCTTGATTCGTGTTTGATGTAGGACAGTCCACTGTAGGTGGTGCCACCCTTGGGGGCAAGTGGTCCTCCATTGTACATAAAATGGGCTGAGCAAACCATGGAAATCCAGTAAGCAGAACTCCTTTTTGGGCTGTATTTTAGTTCCTGCCCAGATTTCCTTCAATGATGATGCACAATGATATGGAAGGGTAAGCCAGACAAACCCCTTCCTTCCCAACTTTCTTTTGGTCACATTGTTCACAGAAAGCAAATGGACAAGGAAGGTATGCATAGTCGCATTGACTATGGTGTATGGCACATTGAGGAATTTCTAATGGCCTATTCCCTACATAGTTTTGTATTTAGTTTGCAAATTGGTGACCATTTTCTGGGTGAAATTGTGCACTCTGAGTTTAATATTTGTTTCCAGTATAAATTATTTTGGGATTTCAATTCAAATGACTGATGTTGAGAGAAAAACTTCCTTTTTTCCCTCCTGATCCAATTATCTTGTTTAAATTATCGAATCATAAACTTTTGGTTTCTCGCCTGATTGACAATATCCTTAGTCCCAGTTATCCCAGACTTCATCATCTAATGTACTGTGTGTTGTGGATGTGTGTCTTCTCATATCAACTGAGGATTCCTCATGATCTGTCAATATTAGGACAATAATTAGCACATACCTCAATCTGAGAAGTTATTATTCAAAAATGGAGGAACACTCTTCACTGTTAAGCTCATATGTAAGTCAGGTACTATGCCTTGAGAGCGTGCTCTCAAAAACACTGTGCATTAAGCAGCAACATAAACATTTGTTTTTTCACAAGAGAAAATATACAATTGCTAACCTGTCTTATTGATCAGCTTGGTCTAACCACTCAAATTCCTTTCTTCCTTCCTTCCTTTCTTTTTCTTTTCCTTTCTTCCTTTATATCAGGCTTCAGAATATCTAACTATATGAAGAAGAATATTTCTCTAATGCTGTCCTTCATGGAAAAAGAAAGGCGAGGACTCCAATCAATTTCCCTTCAGAAGGCTTTTGTTTCTAACTTATCTATCCTTCCCCAAGGCAATGGACTCTCTATACCAAGGAGTATACAAATGAGATAATATTCATTAAGAAGCCTTTGGATAAAGTAAAAGATTCATAAATCCACTTTACCTAGTTATAAAGTGAAATAATTTATAACAACGCATATTTGTTAATGGAGCAAATAGACAAAGTAGAAAACAATGTGTACAGAAGACAAATATCATCTTTACCTATTTTTCTCTTCATCTTTACTTCTTTTTCTACATAGCCAGTGAACATATATTTCTAAGCAATGGAAAATTCACTTTGTATGTTAAAATGTGGTCAAGACAAGAAATTGATGTTGCTATTTCCTGAGTCCAAAACTCTCCTCCGTAGCTCTCTGAACCCATGTTTCACTGAAATTCTGTCATTATTCGGATAGGTGAGGCTCTTCTGTATGGACCAGACAGTACTAAAACCTAAGGACAGTACAACATGTGTGTTGTTATGATCTATAACCTTACCATTTCTGTCTTCAGTTTGTTCCCTAAAAGATTATATATTAATATATATAACACAGAATGGTAAGAATTTGGGATTGGGCAATCTGAAGGTCTTTCCCCAATAAAGCAAAACAGATGATAATAGATTATATATATATATGTATATATATATATATGTATGTATGTATATATATATATTTGACTTGCATAAGACAGGGGGATGCTGGAAAGAATTCCCCAAACTTTTCAACAACAACAAACAACAAACATGTAAGGCCGGAGTTACAGCAGAAGGGACAGTCGGACTGGAATGAGGGGTTTCCATGAGGACAAATGCTCTTCCAATAACCAAGACACAGGAACCAGAAGCAGTAAGTAATAATCAAATGAGTAGAATACGAAATGCTTCTCCTTGGGGTCACAAGCACACTGGAAAGATGAACTTGCAGGCTTAGCATCTTGAATCTGTTGAAAGTAGTCCCTATGAAGTAAGAGTTGAATCTCAACAGAGACAGGAATAAATGTCATCTGTGGAAATCAGATCCATTTCATGCCCACAGAAATCCTATAGTACGCATCCAGGCATTAAAGTTCCCAAATAAAGAAACAGAGGTACAGATGACAGTTAACAGAAGAAATAGCTGCAGATAGGAATTCTCAAGATGAAGGTGTAACAAGCAAGAGACTATCAAGCATCTATGACATTGTAATAGGTGAATTATACAAATGAGAGAATTTAGAAGAAAATTTTTTTAAACAATAACTCAAGTATCACCTCAAACGTGCATTTTAAAGGTCAGAATAGTTTCTAAGACTGGGGTGTTTTGAACTGGAATGGGAAGAAACTATATGGCACATTGCCATAGATAAATGATGATGGGAATATATATGTAAGAGAGGAAAAGAATTGTGAATGTGAGTTAAAAATCACCTCAGCTTGCGAAGTTGAGTAGAAAATTGTGCACAGCTGATCGTGTCTATTTCTATGTTCTCTGTCATTTATCCTACAGTAAAGATGTTTAATTTCTTCATCTAGCCGCAAATCAACATAGTGCTTTCCCAGGCTTAGTAAGCTGCAAGCATAATGGGAAGGGAATATAACCTTTAACCCACACAAATGATGGCCGCTCAATAGAGAGGGGATGTGTGAGTTCAGATTATGATTGCATCACTCACTCTTCAGTTGAGAACTGTAGAGGTTCTTGATGTCACTACACCTAAGATTTCACATCGATGAAATGATAATACAGGCTACAATATACAAGTCCACCACAGAGCGACTTCCCAGGTAATAGTAGCTATTACTCAATCCTTATTTTTCAAAACAAGTCCTTTCATGTTTAATGAATGGGAATGTCCCCTTCTTCTTCCTCTGTTAGGAAAGAAAGTTAATCTTAAATTAAAAGGTAAGAATTAAGATCAGGTTTAATGTGTTATACGGTATTTTCCAGCCTTGTGCTTTTTGTTTGTTTTGGCTGGTGAGATTACATATATTTGACTTTATTCTTGAAGATGCTATTTGGTTATGTAACTTGGGGAGAGGAGTTTACTTGTGCATAAATACAAATTCAAGTTAAATTAATGAAGTAATCAATTTTGAGGCAGGGTTTCTCTGTGTAGCTTTGGTTGTGCGAGAACTCACTCTGTCGACCAGGCTGGCGTTGAACTCCCAGACATTCACCTGCCTCTGACACACGTGTGTTTCGATAAAGGCGTGCACCACATCACCACCACCCAGGAAATCTAATTTATCTTTAAAAGATCAAATTTGTCTTATTTGTACACTGAATGGAGAAATTACAAGTTCCATGATCCACTCTCATGATTAACCATATCACAGATTCTTGCAATGCTTAATCTTACATCTGTATTATTAAAAAAAAAAAAAAAAAAAAAAAAAGCACCATTGTTCACGTGGTACAGTTTCAAGTCCATTAGAACTAAAACTCTTTCCTATTGTGGGTCAGAAATGAGAACATGGATCATACTACTTTTTCCTCAGATGCAAGCCATCTGATTACAGTTGGTTATGGAAGGTTCTTTGTCTCCCGTTAAATGGCTAGCAGCAGCAGTCGTCTGGCTCACCTGTTGAAGAACGAGGCTGTGGGCAGGCTCCTGTGCAGGGTGGCACTCTCTGGCCTTCTGTGATCCTTCTCGGACTCGGGGAGAGGAGAAGTAGGGAGGAGCACTGTAACGGCCTTCTGAAAGGAGTGGGTGGATGGGTGCTGCATATGGATCAGAGGGCTTGTGGACTGTACTGAATAGGAAGAATCTCGATGTGCTTTTAAATGTGACACCATAGAAGGATCAACTGGCTGGATCTAAGCAAAAAAAAAAAAAAAAAAAAAAAAAAGAAGGAAAACTTTTATCTTGTACACACACTTCAACGCACATACATTCAGAAGATGCATGCATTGGTATGCTCCTAAAACAATTGTTTTTTTTTTTTCTGAAAAATTTAGGGATTGCAATTTTAGGTGTTTCTCTATACATTCTTGCCTGGAGATAAAGCTCTTTATATAAAAGCACACAATTGAGTAAAGTATTTTAAAATGCAGTTTCCTATTTATACGTGATGCACACACACACATGCACACACAAACACACACACACACATGCACACACAGACTCATGCATGCACCCACACACACAGGCACACACATACACACACAGACTCATGCATGCGCACACACACATACACACACAAACTCATGCATACACGCACACACACACACAGGCACACACACACATACACACACAGACTCATGCATGAACACACACACATGCACAAACACATGTATGCACACACATGTTTATTTATATATGTATGTGTTTGTGTATGTGTGTGTGTGTTTTAGAAACACTCTAAGTTATAAACAACAACATGACCAAGAAAATAAAAGTGACATTTCATGTAATTTCTAAATATATCGCTGTTCTTAGATCATGTGATCAGCACAAAGTTGAAAACAAAACTACACTTCCTTTCACATCAGAATAGTTAATAATATAAAAGATAACATAAATCAAAGTTTATAAAAATATTTTGAGTGAGATGTGACGGTTAGGCTTCCTTTCCGATCTTTTTCCTTGACTTAACTATTTGTGATGGAAAAACGGAGAAGTAGGAAAGAAAGAATGGGAAAATAAGGCTGAAATGGTAAGCAATATCAGTGGATAAAATAAATCTTCTGGGATGTATATAGATATATTATTACACAGCATGAAAATAGTGTTTGTGTGTATTGAGCCATTGTTCAAAAAAAGCTTATTTTCTTTAGTAAACAGAAGCCAAAAATCGTGGTAGTAACCATTTGAATGGATTGGTAGCTTTCTTATCTCTTTCTATCAGTTCATTTGGAAGCCTGGATGCCCCCAAACTTGTCAGCTATTGTCTTGTAGATGTTCAGCGTATATTTGCCAACACATTAAGCAAGTGATACAGAAAACGATTTAGGAAAAGTCTTGTAAATTGTAAATGGGAGAAGACATTTATTTTAGATGTGTTCAGAATGCCTACTGGTATCATTCCACTCATTACAGATGAGCCTGAATACAAGACAAAATGAACTTTATGGCCACGTGGAAAATCTACATCCTTTGCATCTTCAGGACCATGACTGACACACTAGACACAGGATTATCATTAATTTCCCCTTTTACTTTTTACCTTTAATTGTACAAACGCCGTTGAGCCGAAAACCCCTGCAGGGTAACTGAGGGAAACCCGGGCATCGATGCTTGACTTCAGAGTGAGGCCTTTCTTTGTCACGGTGAAAGTCTGTTTCTTTAAACATGACACTACCGAAAACATACCCAACTTGTAAACATGTACTGCAGCACAAGCCCCCTGCGTGGGGTAAAAGACACCTTGCTGAAGTAAGCAATCAATAACATATAGTCTATGAGCAGTCACATCAAACAAACGAACGAACGAAAACATGCACATGCTACCCATAATCCCCCCATGGTGTGGAGGGACCGCATTCACTGAGCTCGTATGGGCAAAGGATAAGACGATGTTAGGAGTTTCTTGAGCTTGGACTCTAGAAATGAACTTATTTTGTAAGTTAAATCAAATCTTCACATACGTATAATAGGTAGTCATAATATCTTCACAAGTTTTAGTTACTTCTGGAATCCTAGCCAGTTTGGGCTGGAATGATTTTTCTTTTTTTTTTTTTTTTTTTTTTTTTTTTTTTTGGATAGAATGAATTATATATATATATATATATCTTGTCTAGAACTTGCTATGCTATTTTACAGAATTCCAAGGGAAAGAATTTTAGTACTTCAGCATGTTAACATTGTAGCAAATGTGCTGTCAGAAAAAAAAAAAATCTTCCTTCCAACAGATCACAACATCTCCAGATTCCATAATAAGGTCGTTGTCTCTATTTCTTTCTGAGGTGGAAACAGATAACTGCATAATAATAACACATTGTTCCTTTCCCGTGTGTTTATATTCAAAAAAAAAGTCATATATCCGAGCACACACTCAATAGTATGTATCATGAAAAATGGAACTGAGTCCATAAAGGAAAGCAAAATGATCGATGTGTACAATCACCGATGCTATAAACAAGGAGGCAGACGGGAGTAATTTTGCTCTGTTTGCACGTCCCCTCGTACCAGCTAGACTCCACCCAGCATGAGTGGATAATAGCACATGCGCATGCACAAACACCTCAGGGTTATTCACAGTGGAAAATAATCTATCATTCGAAAGCTGACTAAGGGAAACATTTCACAATCTCACAGTTGGGAAAATTCTGAGCACAATGATCCTACTTCAGTGGCCAGAGGGAAAGCAGCAGAGAAGAAAAGGTCTCCTGGGAACAAGGGGTGGTTGCTGAGCACCGAGGCCACATTTGGCAGATACTGGGGAAGCTAAAAAGGCCTTTGAGAATTCGAGCGTTTAAATGTCATAGAACCCACATAAAGCTTTGGAAGGAGTCCAGAACTCGAATGTCCCTGAGCTAAAATTAGAGATAACTCTCACTCGCCTACTATGTAAAGAACAGTTTTTTTTAGTAGACAATGCCCATCTTAATTTTTCCTGCGTCTTGATTATTCGTTTACAAAACATCATTGGAGCCCCTCTGGGAAGGTACGTGCACTGTGACCAGTTTCTAAAGTACTCATTATAAAGGACATTCGGCAAGGTTAAGGCGCCTACTCTAGAGCAATGCTAATAAGACTTTCACATTCTCAGGCAGCTAGTCTAAATCTAACAGGTACTGGTGGCATGCATCAGGGTAACGAGAAGAGACTTGCCTCCATTCACCTATTTGGAAGCAAATGGAAAGGATGGAATGTGTTGTGAAGATTTTAACGTGTAGTATTTTCTGTCCTCATCTAATAAGAAATATTCACCTTAATTGGCTAAAAATTAATTTGGTGGCCCACAGAAAGCCCTTACCCTGAGTCCTCATCAACTCTCCAATACTAAATTTAGTAATTCGGGATTCTGTCTATCTCAGCAACATTTGAATTTGTGCATAGATAGCCTTGATACTACTACAATAAAGTTTGTTCCAAACGGTGTAAACATATTAACAACTTGCTTGTGTAAAGGTTTTGCCAGTCTCCTTAAGTGGTTTGTTTAAGTTTTGCCATCTTATCAGGGAGATATTACTATATTACCTTTCAAATAAAAGGTTTTAGTTACAGAGGGGTGTCTTGATCCATCCTAGTAAACACTGCCGCCAAATGCGGGGACTGATTTCTTTCTTTACTGCTCACATTCTAACTACTAACTACATAATCCTCAACATCTAGGCTAAATTCCCTTTTTTAATAAATTTATCAAAGCATGCACATACACACAGTTTCATATATATATTCTCCCAACCTATGAATTATAAAAACTAATCTATAATATCTAAAGATTCTGGTGCTTCTGTGTAGGCTGTAATGCAGCACATTAGACACATTACTACGAACTTACTACAGACTGTGAAATTAACTAAGCTATGGTGTTGGTTGTTTTCTAGGAGAAAAAAAAGGTTAACATTTGCCGAGTCCTAGGCCCATTCTCTATTACTAACTTTGACAAATAATCTCTACTGTTTGAACTTTATGGATGGTATTGAGAAGGAAAAAAAAATCATGAATGTTCTCCCACAAATGTGTCCACGCTTATACAGTGAACAATTATTTTTTTAATTTTATTTTTTTCCTTTTTTAATTTAAATTTGAAACAAGGTTGTTTTACATGTCAATTTCAGTTCCCTCATCCTCCCTTCCCTCCTCCCCTCCCGCCAGCCCCTCCCCTTTCTGCTCCCCAGGGAGGGTGAGGCCTTCCACTGGGGATCTTCAAAGTCAGTCATATCATTTGGGGCAGGGCCTAGGCCTTCTTCCATGTGTCTAGGCTGAGAAACTATCAGTGGAACAATTATTATTACTAAACTAGAACATAATATTCCGAATCATAAGAAGAAAAGCATGAAATACAGTTGCAGCTCAGGCTCTACTGACCTTATAACTTCCCCTCATTCCTTCAAGTGAATTTGGGGTTAGGTAGCTCGACCCAAAGTCTGTGTCAGACATTTTCACCATGAAGTCTCTGTAATTTCCCTTGTAGCTTGCCTTGAATGGAATTGCAATGCCTATTGGGAATGGAATTTTCTCTTCTTCATCTGAACATTCAACGGTGAAGACATTGCTGACCAACTCTTCACTATCGCTCACTATAAAAGAGCTCATGCTGTTAACTACCCGACAACGTAACCGTTGCAGGACGTGTGGTGGGGCTGTGATGTAACAAAACACTTGAGGGTCAGTCCCATCACTCAGCACATCAAGATACCTGTGGGAAAGCAAGAGTGGGCTTCATTTCCCAACATACTATCCATGTACTTTATAGACAAGCGCGGGTCATAAAGTGTGAGGCAGGTTGCTTTTGTGAACTTTAGCTCTCCCACTTATTAACTCTTTCATCAAAACTGTATACCACAATTTCCTGTAAAATATGGGGTGAAATTATATCAGCTTCACAGGGAAAGCTTTTCAGTTAAAAGTGTTATTCTACAGTGATTATAAAGAGCTATGTCTTCTCATTGTAAGGAAGTTGCCTACACTACAGTAATTATATAAGCTAAGTACATAAGCTATAATTGTTTTTGTCTAATATTATCATCAAAGTCATTGATTTATTACTCACTGTTGTCCACCCTATGGTAAAATTCAAAAACTATTGATGTTTTTAAGTAAGTTCATAGTTTGCATAACCTTGAGGACAGTGATGCTCGTGTGGTGAGGTCCACCAGGGTGCAAGAATAGATTTCTTTTTTTTTTACTTTTCTGATGCTTTAAAAGTGAAAAGTCAGAAAAAACGGAAAGTCCCAGCATTTGTCCAGTCTTTGTTGAAAGCAAAAGTACTCGTGTGTGTGCATGAGCACACAGCGCCCTCCCCGCCACACACACACACACACATGCATACACAGAGGCAGACAGACAGACAGAAATAAAGACAGAGACAAAGACAGAGAAACATAGAGGAGAAAACTATAGAGAGACAGAAGATAAAAACAGTGCAAAGGTTATTCAGACTCTTCATACGATTAGGGGTGGGGTGCCCCCCTTTGCTTCCTCAGAAGTGGCTAGTTTGGGCCTTTGCAGGACTGGAATAATCCAGTCAAAGAAGAAAAGCTAATTGCTTTTTCCTTCCACAGGTACTCACTCCTGACTCCCCACCTGCCCTGGAAGACTTGAAAGTTTTGAACAGCTCCTTCTTCAGGGAAAAGGGTCACCAAGCCCTTTGTTTGGAGAGGAAGAAGAAAGAGCAAGTTGGTCATCTTAAATTTTTAAGCATAAAGTACATTAATCTACCTAAAACCTCTTATTTGTTTGACTATCTGTCTTCCTGCCTGCCAGGGGTCTTTATACTCCAACTGGCCTCGAGAGGAAGTGATAAATATGAAACACAGAGATTGTCCAAGTACATTAGATCACATAGTAATGATTATTTAAGATTTTTACACTAATTCTATTAAATAGGAATGGAACACTTCTAATCATCAGATCATCATTTTAAAAGTTTGTTTTAACTATTTTATTTTTTCTCAACATCATCTTTGCAAATATTTTTAGAGCTTTATATACTGGAATTCAGATTTGAGAGCAGACATTTCCTATTTTTTTGTCCATAAACATCACAATCTCTCAAAGTAGTCAACAGCTTAACACATTCTGTAGGTCAGGTTTTAGCCCTATATTTTCACTTAATTTTTAAAGCTTCTGTGACAAATACTACTATCTTTACTATTTTACAGATAGGGGAAATGAGACTTAGATGTTTAATTTGCTATACATCTCATAGATGTTCAGTTTTAGAACTAACAGTTGACTACATGCAGCTTTAGTGTGGAAGTAAAAGTTCTCAAATATTGACATGCCTTTCTCAAACCTTCCCTAAGTAATGATTATTCCATCCATTACAACTTGAAACTAATATCTAATCTGTGATCTTGGGAAGTTTTAATGAGATATAATATTTAAACCTCTTTAATAGTAGCAAATCTGAATAAACTCCATGTTCAATAATGATTTAGTCTCTATATTAAACCCATCAACTTGAGATTCTGTTGATGGCATTTATTTCACAACAGGGAAAACTGGATCAAAGTATAACGCAGCATTATTTTCTCAGTTATGTGTTAGCAAACTGTTAGCTGTTTTTCATTTGCTGTTAATGTAATTTGAAGTTTACTGTGATATAAATAATTTCATAAAGGAATGTATAAAATACATTTAACTGACAGAGGTTCTTTATTATGTATGCAATCTTGAACTTAAAAAGAGGCATACTGAGCTGCTTAATGTTTTTGTTTATAGAGATAATGATAACTCAGAAAAAGTAACATTATTCAGCAAAAGATTCAGTGAACTAGCTTCATATAAGTTCAAGAATGTTGTTCTCTTTGGGTGTCCTGGAAACCATCTCAATCCACAAGGTATCGTTCCCAAATGACAGATAGAGTGTAAAAGTGATGTGTAAATGTATCCACTCTTCATAGTCCTAATCAAATATTACTTTTCTTGTTATTAAATAGATTATACTGATTTATTTCCCCCCACACACTTTATGTACACATTAGTGTAGCTTCCCCCCCCAAAAAAAAGATGGGGCTTCTGAGAAACTAAACGTTGAGGAACCAAAAAGGATCCTAAGCAAGGCTTTATTTATTATATATTCTTTTATGTGGTTTGATAGCTTCTTAGCCTGGGGAACTGCAATGAAGAGTCACCTTAGTAAATATGCAAGCCAAGCACAATTGGTTTCACTCCACAAAGGAAGTCGCTAACCAGGGAACACCTAAAGGAGGTGTTGGAGGAGTGAGTGATGCAGGCAGTGAGTCACTAGCTGCTGTTTTGAGTCAGTTTTGAATGGGAGGATATGAAGTGTCGATGTTTTTCTCAAATGAAATGCAAAACCACATACTGACAGCTTCAGAGGTTGTTTGTCAGAGGCGGTAGGTAATGCTTGCAAACCTTGGAGGCCTTCCAAGCATTGAGATCCATCTACAGAATTCATTAAGTTCTCTTTGCTGCAAATACATTGCTTTCTTTTCTTTTTTGTCCCCCCCCCATTTGTTTATAGAGTCCCATGATCAATGTAAGCAAAGTACTTACCAAAGAGCACATACTCGGTGATGTTTTCCTGGGAACGGTGTTGTGAGTCTACACCGTAGAGCATCAGCACCACGTTATGCAGAGATGGTTACAGGTGAGGAACAGCCGTGAGGAGGGGTAGGCAGTGAAAGTTTGCTGGGCGTGACATCAAATAGCACACTAACATTTAGTTTAGTGTGAACAATGGCAGAGTAGCCCAACACTAGGTCCCTCATTGACTGTCTCGTTTGAGATCACACGACCCAAGGAGATAGTACTCTCATAAGTGAGACATTGAGACCAAAAGCAAACACACAAGCAAGAAGAAAACACGAGGTAAGTTGCCCAGGGTCAAAACAATCTGGCTGATAATAAGAGGGCATATAAAAATCAATTTTGTTTAACTCCCTAAATGTTTTCTCCACTGCAACATATTGCTGAAGAAGATGCTGTGTTTACATGGGAAAATATGGTGAGAAACTATCAATTTAAACAAATCAAGCAGTATTGCAACCTTCCGGTGTGGGAATATGGAGATAGGTTGTAAAATGCATCAAGCTTTCTGCCATTTTTATCCCATAGGCTTTTAGACAATCTGATAAAAATAACTCGTGATAGTTTTCTGACTTAAGTAGGTGGGAGTACTTTTACCTATAAGAACACTGAGAAGCCTACCCACAAGTTCCCTGGAGTCCTAAAGTCAAAGCTTAAAGACTGATGACAATTATCTTGCAGCTGTCACATATATGAATTTATTATTTACAAAATCATGTCTGTAAATTGTATTTTTTAAAATTTTTTTTAATATTCTGGAATCTCTTTTTTATTCAAAATTTAACCTTGTTTTTTAGAAAAGTGTTCTGTTGTAAACACTCTAGAATACTACTTAATATTAATATTTCCTAAAACTACGAAGAGCAGAGTGACAGCAGGCATATAAATTTGTGTGGGTCGATTTTCACCTGAATCACTGATTCACAGTAACTTTTGGAGACATGACACAGAAAACTTCATTGTATATTCCTTCACATCATACGTTGAGAATTTATCCTATTGGTGACTGTGTTAGGACACAGGGCCTTTGTGGAACCTTATTAGATCATAACACAGTCCTCTAAGTTGAGATTAGTGTCATTAATAAAGGGCCTTGGAGTTGGTGTGCCCTTTACACCATCCTAGAATGCAACAAGAAGGTCCCGCCTATGAATCAGTATTCTTTCGGTAGACACTGAATCTCCTGTGCCTTGTCTCTCTAACTCTAGAACTGTAAGAGATTTACCTCCCCGCACCCCACACTGGAAACAAACTGGTTTATGGTAGTTTATCATAGCAGAGGGAGTAAGACATTTAATGAGTATGGAGATGCACGTAGCAGTGTACGTATGTAAACACTTCTCACGGTGCCTTTACTTACTCCCTTTCCATCGTGTTATTCCTCTGTTTTAGACTCTCTGACTCATGGTGAAGACGGTTCATGTCCTGACTGGAGACATCCCATGCTGTTGGGGATGTGGTAATCTCTTCTCTGAGGCTTTCTGAGATCTCTCGAGGAGTTTCCCTTGCTGTTGCCTGGACTACATCATGAATGTCTTCCTTGTTGCCATGTGTGTTCTCAGCGGTCATGTGTCCTGTTTGTTTTTCATCTTCATTCTGTGCGTTATCTGGGAACACTGTGCTCTGTGATGCCTCTTGCCCTGCTGCATTTCCACTCAATGATGCATTGTTTTCTTCCTCCCCTAATTCAGAGCATATCTGTGTCTCATTTTCCTTTAACTGGACCTGGTTTGTGTAATGCCTTTCCCCTGCATTTGTAGAAGAAGAAACAGTGGCTGTTTCCATGACATTTAGTTCCCTGCTTGGAGCAATGTCTGTTGCTTTGGTGTCTTGAATGGCCGATATTGTGTGCTGTGGAGTACGGCCCTCATGCGTGCTGCATAAATTACACATCTCCTTCTCTTCTTTCCTTAGGAGCATAGTAGTGTTCCCCAAGTGTTCATTCACTTTCATGAGGCAGTCTGCGAAAGCAATGATTTCTGCACATGTACACACACAAAGAAGAAGTGAAGACTAAGTCAAATTATGATTCTGCACAGACGAAAGGAGTATTTGCACAGTTTGCCAGCTTTTAACACTTATATAGTTAGAAGGAAAGAAATCTCTGCTTTTAACATAGTAGCCAAGAATTAAAACTGACCCTTTTTCCTCCTGAGTATGCTTTAGACTTTATAGAAAAAAAAATGTGAGGATCTTTCTCCCAATTAAGGATGAAGGCAACAACTCCTCAATCATTGGCTATATTTGACAGTTGCTCCTTTGCCCTGGAAGATACTATGCTATACCAATTTTCCATTTCAAATATCAGACATAAAATTATCTGAACACCCCAGGACAGGTCCATAGCAGAAATGGAACAGCTGTGTTGTTTACAATGGCACAGATGCTGTATTTGGTGTGAAATCCAGTCCTCCTCTACTGAACACGTGATCATTAAAATCTGTCAAAATGTTCTCTCAAAGAGTAACTTTGATCATGTCATTCTTACTGGATCTTGCAGTGGCTAATCAATGACAAACAAACTAAAACAAATTGCTTTACTCTAAGGCTAAACATCATCAATATCTGAGTCAATCCATTTCTGACAGACACCACCCTGATTCCATCCCCAAGCTTCCATCTGTGCATCTCACTTCTGGAGATTCATTCAGGCTGAACCTTTCTATACTCACAACAGCACTGAGCTAGGAGTCTGGCACCAAAGTCCACACCTGTCACCAAATCAGCCTTTCTTTCACTAGTCTGGGCTTGCCTTTGCACTGTAGTCCCGACAACTTACTCTTTGTCTTATGTCTGAGATGCCATGCTTATTTTGAACTCCTCCTTTTCGGTTGCGGACTACTTGCCTTGGCTTGTTGTCCAGGACTGTGTTCAATCCCTCCAGAGACTGGCTACTCGTGAGCTCCTGCTAATGGTTCTGGGGTCACACAGCTTTGGGACAGATTCTCTGTTGGTCACCATTTGTACTCCAGATTGAACTCCTTAGTGCTGTCTGCTCTGCATTCCTCACTGATGAGGTCCATCTGCTCACCTTGACATTACATATCTGAGAGCTGGATTTCACAATGCCACCCAGATGATATTTTGAAAACATTGCTATTAAGACTCCATCCTTTAGATACTGCATTCTCCATACTTACCTTGACACACACACACACACACACACACACACACACACACACACACACACCTGGTCATATTCCCTAGAATTTACATCCTGTCTTTAGTGTCTAGGGATCCAGTTTCTTCTAGCTCATCCAGTCTTTCCAGTGTTTTTGTAATTAATAGGACTAGGTTCAAATGACTGTGAAGTTAGAACACGCTACTCCAATTTAGAAAAACTGCCCGTTCTTTTTTAATTAGCCCTGTGCTTTGGCGCCCGCACTACTCGGGTCTTGCAAATAACAGACCGGGCACCTGAATTTCCAGTTGCATGGCTCCAGTTCCTTGTTTAGGTGTCGGTTTAAATACCATGTATTTCCCGGCAGAGCTCACTCTAAGTTAAGTTCCCTTCCTTAAGATATGAGCCTGGCTACCAGAGAAGCCCGAAATACTCTATCTTTGTCCCAACAGAAGGAGAGCCTGAACCAGCGAAATGTTGTCTTCTCCTGCATTCTCTACCGTAACGACAGTCCATTGTAAACAGATCTACCTTCATTGTATTTTTTGTACATTGTCCCCTCTTAAATACTGACCAGATGAGCATTTGAAACGGAAGTATTAACACCCAAGAAACAAAACAGACTACTTGCCTCGTCTCCAGACACATTGATTATCCTTGTCAAGTAGCATATACAGCTGCTGGCAGGTGGACTGAAAGGTGCCTGCAGTGTGTTCCAGAAGTTGATGAAGGGCTTCATTGAGCCCTTGGCCCAGAAAGATCACTGTGGCTATCCAAGTGGCCCCACCACCAGCCATCTCACAGAGATTATCACCCACCAGTGCCTGCTTCAACATTTGGCTTTGCCTCCAAATCCGTTTTAATATTTGGCCTAATTTACCTAAACCCATGTCTTCTGTATCCATTTCTTTCTAAGCTTCAAAAAATAAAAATGATATATGTATTCCCTGCCAAGAAAGCCTAATTTAGCACATTCAGACTTGGCAATGGTTTTTCGTCCTAAAATCTCAGAGATGATCCAAGGCAGCTAGCCTTAACCTTGTTCTTCAACCCAGAGTTTATTCCAGTTGTTGTTGACAAATGAAAAGTTTCCAGGTGACCAGAAGAGGGGCGTTCCTGCACCCTAGTGCCTCTGTGCTGTGTACACAATAGATTAATCACTTGGATGGAGTTAGCCTGCATAATCATAATGCCCATGTAAACTTTACAAATTCAACATGCTATGAAAACCTCACACGCTCTTTAATTTTTTGCTGTGGCAAAATATGTGTGCCAAGTAAAAGATGAGCTTCATTAATCAAACTGTTGCTTTTTGTTTTCTCTTTTATTACAGTATTGCTATTAAAATTCCTGTGTATAACTTTAAAATACAGATTAGTGAAAAGTACGGTTTGCTTTAAAAATAATTTGGGGGGGGGAGTCTAAAAATAAGGTTTAGATAAATAAGATTGTTATTAAATTATAACTTGTTGGAATTGGATATAGTTACATATGGGGTCTTTTGTACTTACATTCAAGGAAAATAATAAGCTAAGATTTAAAGGTAAAGAGTTAAAAATTGGTCCAGGCATGTTGTCTCACTACTCTAATTTGGGAATAAGGGGCATGATAAATGATTCTATTTCAAGACCAGTCAGAGGTCCATAGTGAAACACAGTCACAAACAACCACAGTTAAGAGTTCAGAGAAAAACCACCCCTTAGCTGGAGCATAGCCTAAATACCACTGTTTAGTAAGTATAATTACTACTTTCTTATGGGTAAGTGTACATCAAGATTGTGATAGAAACTTGGTCTCAGCTCTGCCCTTTGGTAATTTCTCTCTAATTGTGTCAAGCACTTCTTTACAAAAAGAAAGAAAACTTGAAGAGTGGCTTCCTCCGGGCTAACAAGGAGCATTTACCAGCTCTGTAATTAAAATTCAGATGTAGCATGTCCTCACCACGCTGCCTGTCCAGTGGGCATATTATACACATGGCCTTGTTGCAATGCAAAGTTTGGCATGAGGGGAGGCTGAGGTGCACTGGAGAGCAGACTGCTTCCTCTCCTCCAACTCCCCTTTGTCTGAGAAAAGGGAATGAACAGGAAAGGATGAGGGGGTTCTGAGTTTACAAACAGCTCATGTTCCCTAGAGGACACAGAAGGAAATAACATCTTTCCAAAGGGGAATAGAATGTTTTCCTCCTGCAGGCAGCATTATTTCACCTTCAGCATTGAGGTTTTTCAGTCTTCACTCGGGATATTTAAACCATTGGAGGAAACATTTCCAGGGAATAAAGAAGGAAGAAAGAAAGCACAGACTTGTAGTCTGCACACACTGCCCTGGTTCATTGTAGCTGAGTGTTTTTTCTCTGTCCAGCTGGTTTTCCTGGACTGGTCTCTCTGCTGCTCCAGGTTCACCACAGCTGCTTATAATTGTTCTGCCAGTGACTCAGGCTTATTACTGGCTAGCTCTCTCTTTTAAACTAACCCATTTTTAATAAGCTGTGTATCACCATGTGGTAATGCCTTACTGGTAACCTTCTAACATCTTATTCCTCCGGCAGTGCCTCTCATCTCCCTGAGTCTGCCTTCTTTCTTTCTCTTTCTCTGTTTGGATTTCCTGCCTAGCTATATTCTTCCCTGTCGTGGGCCCAAACAGCTTTAATCATCAACCAATTCAAAAAGCAACACATACTTGTGGCACACAGAAGGGCATCCCTCATCAGTTCATAGATTCCAAAGGACAAGCGAAAGAATACAGAAGATCTGGGGGGCTCCAGGTTGTATTCCTTTTTAGGTAACTATTAAATGCTGAGAGAGGGATAAATTGTCACCCACAAGGATGAGCCCCTCACTGGCCATCCAATACCAAATGGTCAACACTGAAATATATATACATATATATATATATATATATGTATATATATACACACATATATGCGACACTAAATGCACGCAGGAAGTTGTATTTATATATCTATGTGTTCATATGTGTGCACACACACATACGCAAGCACACACACACAAGAATGACAATAATTGGGGAAGAGGGGGAACACATGGTGGGGCGAGGGGGAAGTGAACGGAGGAGACCTGGGGAATGATGTCATCATTCATATTTTCATTTTTAAAAATTACAAAGTGAGTCTTATTTTTCCAGTGAAACCGTGGGGGGTTTTTTTTGATATTTTAATCTATATCAATATAAAAGATTACATTAAAATGTTTTCACATTCTTTTTTGTTTTCAAATCTGTGCTGCATATTGCCTATGGCGACTATGTCCTAGATTTAATTGTTGGGAGGCTTGAGGGTCTACATTGAAGCAACTATATCAGGGCAAGCAACAAAAGTGGACATCTCGAAAGCAGATTGGATTTGCAGAGCACCTAGAATTTACCAAACCATAGGAGAGACTGAAAGAAACTGTGTATATATCTGTTTATTGGTCACTGATAAAAGAACAGTTGTTGGTAATGGAATATAGCTAAGCCATTTCACTAGGGCACCTCCTAGTAGGTAAATGTGTTAAGAATTATAGGAGGGGCTACAGGTTTGGTGGGACGTAATTTGATTGATTTTAGATTTGTAGCTTTCAAGTTAACTCAGGAAAAAAAAAATCATTGAGACTCTGTTAGAAATATTGCACGTAGAGGACTGACAAATGTTTGAGCATTTTCTATAAATAGATGGTAAATGAATTCCTATGGGTAGAAGACAACGAAGAAGAACTTATACCATGCATATTTTAAATACTGAACAAAACGATACTAAGTTTGAGGTCACTAGACCCATTTACACTTATTTCCTTATGCATGTGTGGGAAAACCTCTCTGTCAGGATAAGAAGGAACACCCTAAACCTTCCCTCTAACACTACTGGCTCATTTCAAGTCTATACTTGTTTTCTGTCAAGCTTCTAAAGAATAGGAGGCAATGTTTGCAAACTAAAGCCTGCCCTGGGCCACACTGCATGCACTTGTTAAAACAGGCATCTGCGTGTTCCTGCATTTTGTTTTCAATTAACCGATGTCACTGACCACAAGAAAAACTGACATTAACAGCAGAGACACCCAAAGAAACCAACTGCAAAAGTTCGTCTGGATGGTTTACACACTACCTTAGACCCATCGCTGCTGAGGCTCATTCAGACTGCTTTCAGCTTCCTACTAAGCATCCTGTACGTCACCACCATGAGACAAATTAACACATGGTCTTGAGTTCATATAAAATATCATATGGTTAAAGAGATGACCATCCTTGAAAGTATCCAATCAGATAGTAAAACAGGGGAGTGGGGTAGTTACTTGTAATTTCTGTAAAGAAGTAAAACTACGATAGTTGCATAAATTTTTGATTCAAAATGGGATGAGAACAATAAACTGCTTAATGTTTTGGTACCCTGTTTTCATAGAAGTCATGACGGCTGGTGCTGCATAGTTCAGATGCCAGCAGAAGAACTCCAAATATAACTTAATGTAAATATCACAAATGTGTTCATTCATTTCTTAAAATGTTTCAAAAGATCACACGATGAAGGGGGAGGGGACTGAACGAGACTAAATGCAATGACCTACGTATGACGATATGAGAGCTACATGAGGAATCCCATTATTGTGCATGCTACAATAAATAGAAGAATAAAGTAAGTAAGTAAATAAATAAATCAGATTGTAAAATTCAAAGCCAACACTTCTTGTTTCAGAACTAGATTTGATGTTCCTCCTTTTTCACTCTTCCCTCAAATCCTCGGAAAAAGAAAAAGTTAATATATAAATTCCACTAGATAAAAAAAAAAAAAAAAAAAAAAAAAAAAAAAAGGAAGCGTGATGGAAGACAGAGGTCAACGAGGGCCAAGAAGGTTGAAAGTAGCAGACTGTGTAACAATACAGGCCAACTGAAACTCTGGAACATAATGGTGAAAAAGCAGCTGGCGTTCACCAGAGATGCTCACAGAGTCCCAGCACTTAAAAACGGCCAAGTACTCCAGAGCATGAGCATGAACCTCAGAGGGAAAGTAGCTCTTCAGTCTCGAGGTCTGCTCTTCCTAGGGATTTGGTGAGGGCAGGGCATGTAGTTCAGTAGTCAGTAGTCAAAGTCTGACCCCAACTAACAATTTGAGCAACAGTGGAAAGGCTATCATAAATGCCCTTCCCTGATAATGAGATTGATGACTAACTTGTCCACTTCACAGAGCCTTCATCTAGTAGCTGATGGCAACAGAAGCAGACACCCACAACTAAACACTGAGCAGAACTGGAATCCAGATGCAGAGAGGGAGGACAAGACCAGGCTACAGAAACCCATAGAGACAGCTGACCTGAACAAGGAGGAGCTAATGGGCCCCCAGACTGGGCATTGAACCAACCCAGACCCCCTGAACATGAGTCTCAGTTAGGAGGCCTGGGCAGTCTAAGGGACCTCAGACAGTGGAGCCAGGATGTATTCCTGGTGCACAAAAGGACTTTGGGAGCACATTCCCCATGGAGGAATACTCCCTTAACCTAGAGACAGGAGAGAGGTCCTAGTCCCTACTTCAAATGACTTGACATATTTTGTTGACCCCTCCTGGAAGGCACCACCCTCCCTGTGGAGTGTGGAGGGGGTATGGGATGAGAGGGTAGTCGGGAGGCATGGGAGGGAGGGAGGGACTGAGGGAACTGGGATCAATATTAAAATAAGAAAAAAATTACTTACTTAAATAAAACATTTGTCGATACTTATCTAGCTTGCATAAGACCTTGAGTTCCATTCTCAGCACCGCCATCCGAAAAAAAAAAAAGTATTGAGATACTGATATATCCAGTAAAAACAAAAACAAAAAAACTTCCCTAATTTTACATACCATTTAAATACAGAATGCAATATAGTCTCCAAAGCATCCAAACAAAACACAGTGCTCCATGGCAGATCTCCCCTCACCGAAACATAGATTTGGGTAGTCCTACTGGATCAATTTCAGCCATTCATGGTAGTC